CAAAATGTAAATATATAGATACTGATTAATCCCGTAAAACAACTTTCCAGTTTAAAGACAGTTAAACTCTGTAGTGGGGGTCAATATTCAACAGTGTCGCATTTTAACGTGTTGAGGTCATCAGAGATTAGAAAAAAAATTTCAAACTGTTGAAAAATGACCCCGGGTATAAATTCAACGACTTTGGATCTCAATTTTCAACGGAGAAAAAGCACCCCCGGTTCAATATTCAACGTTGAAAAATGACCCAGGGTCAATTTTCAACTCGGGTCAATATTCAACCTTACTCCGGCCAAGAACTGTCTTTGGAACAATAAAAACCAACCAACTGGTTTCTATTTAGCATTGAAACTTGTCAACCTCAGTGTATATTGGACACAATACCAGAATTCAAGCATTTATTTATGTTCTGACATAACCAAATAACATAATCATGATGTTTAAAAAAGCAATTTTGACTTCACGCAGGTGAGGAGCATTTTCTTAAGAAATCATGTGAATATCAAGGTCACATTACCCCCTTTTAAGACAAAAAATGATCTAATTTGCCATAATTATGGATAAATTTAATTGCTTGAGTGTATGTTGTTTTACGTCCCTTTCGAAAATGTTCCCCTCATATAGAGACGTCACCATATACCGATGAAGGGCTCCAAATTTAGATCTATGCTCGGCACTCAGGGCCACTGAGCAGAGTAGGTTCTTTATTGTGCCAATGCATCAGTGACAAGGGTCCTCCATTTTAAAGGTTTCATCCGAAAGACCAGTGATGTTCACTTCTACGCAGCACAGTTTAGGTGCCAAATGGAAATATCGGCGAAGATTTTTTAGATAGAAAAACATTCTTTACAAGGATGGGCATTTCGTTTTAGGACTTTACTATTATCGGACAAATGCAATGTGGTTGAAATCTAAATGTTGAGGACGATTAGATTTCTTATTAAGACTTGTCACTTGATGCGGCAGTCACGTGATTTTAGCAAATATACCTGAAGTATTGAGGTCATCTAGATAAATTCTAATATTGCAAGGGCATAACCAAGTTAAAAATCTAAGTTTAACATATAATTATTTTCAACACTCTTTGTAGTTTGTGAAAAGTGCTGCGAACCTATATAGATTCTACTATCTAATTGCTAAAATTACATTTGTTAGACCGTATGTTGAATAATTTGCTGGTCAAGTACATTAAATATAGATATAATTAATTCATTTGCAAGATTTCAACAGGTTCGCAGCACTTTTCAAATATCTTCATACTTCTTCAGTTTATGTGTAAAAGCTTGTCATAATTCATTGAGGGTATGCCCTTGCAATATATCGATTTATTACGACCCTTCTATTACCCTTCAGTGAATCTGCATACAAATATACGACAGTATCGCTTGTCTAGGGAATGTACGGGAAGTATATGAATAAAATCATAAAACAGACATCGCATCCAAGTTAATGGCCTCTTATATATCTACAATTTATATTTTATTTAATTACAAAATACATTTTTCATTGTATAAATATAACTTGATCCGCCTCTCACTGCATACAACTGCGTCAAATTTTCCGATATGACGTCACATTGACAAGTGCATTGCGATCAGTGAATATTGTTTATATATTGCTGTGTAGGATTTAACCAACGACAATAATGCATGCACTAGTTAGTATTTGTGGTAAAGTGTAAATATTTGAAAAGTGTATATATTTTTAGTATTTTAGGATTTTGAGTTTATTTGATATGTTTAGTAATATTATCTACAAAATAATTTTTGATATTATTATTTACAGGAAATTTATTTAATTTAACTTAATATTTATATTTCAGCAAATTATTATTTATTTAAGGTATATTATACTTTAGAAGATACAATTATTTAGGAATTACTTTAGTATAAATAAATATGTTTCCCTTATAGTATTTATAGTAATAAACTTTGAGAGGTCAGTGACCTATGAAATGACCCATCAGTGAGATTTCATTGGTCGAGGTTTTGGAGGGAAATCTCTTTGTGGGCAGTTTATTTTTGGTTAGAACTGGTCATACCAGTCTTTGTGTCTAAACTGACAGGATGTCTCAAAATTTTTCCTGATTTCATACGATTTGGGGTGTACCAGTTTATTTTCTTTGATTGTTCAATTCCAGAATTTCACGTCTGTTCTTAAAGCTGAACACTACTCGTAAAAGGCATTGTCCGCCATATTTCCCTTTCATCGGCGCTTGCCCAACAACCCCTATATAAGCCGCAGATCTCTTAACAGTTCTATGTAATTCCCTGTAGAGGTCTCACCAGAGAAGACGTACATCTTACATTACCGTGTTACTCGGTCGCGATGAAATTATCAAATTTTACGCACTTTTCCGAGCTAGGAGAAAAGTAACATCAAATATACAAGTCAATTCTTTATTTACAAACACAAAATGCACATAAAACAAGGAATAAACGCAAAAAAATCTAAGACCACGAAAGGAATACTACACGTCGGCCACAAGTTTCAAGTGTGCAATCGGGTGTAACGAAATCGAAGGGTTTATATACCTGTGTGCCGGTGCCTATTTATGAGTAGTGTTCAGCTTTAGTATTATTTTCATGTATGATTGTGAATTTGTATGTTTATGTGAAAGTGAGTGAAAAAGGTGTTTGAATGGTGAATGCAAGTTTGAGAGATTGTGTAAATGAGCAGTATAAATATTTTATCAGACATTTCACTCTAATTCAAGGATTAAATTGTATATATGTAGGACTGAGTGAAATGAATAAATAAGTCTAAAGTTGTAAAACTATTTTTATAAATAACTTGTATAACTGTAAGTGATTAATAGTAAAATTAGGAATTTTATCTTCTGTTTCATACAATTTAAATAATTCTTTCAATTTAAAAGCATAGGTACTTTTCATTAAATAAAGTAGTTATTATTATTAAAGATGTTTATACATGTAGCAGCAAAGGGAGATTACTCATTGTTATGCAATCCTTATAGGACTGTCACAGCTACATGATTGTATAACTTTCCATATGTACATCCAGACCTTTTGACCATATTAAAGGTAATTTATGTGTTTTATGTTTATGTGTTGTTCCATTATATGTATGTGTTGACAGAACTTATTTTTTTTGAGTTTTTGTCCTGCATGTCTATATTTTATGTTGAATTTAATTTCATGTGTATTATGTCTAATGCATGAAATTGTATTTGTGTTAATGTTCAATATGAAATCATATAAGATTATTTGATTTAGAATTATTTAATATCAGATAATGATTTTGATAATTATCATGATTTTTTTTTTATTTTAAATGACTAAATTAATAAAGGAATTATTTTTATGATAAATTGATCTGTGATAAAGAAGTGGTAATTATTTTTATATCAATTTAATTTAAAGAGAATATGAATTATAAAGTATGAGATTTATTATAATGATGATATACTATAATAGAGTTAAATGTGTATTTTTAGCTTGTCTAATACTTGTTATTGTTATTACAGGGTCTACTATATTATACTACTCTACTCTACTGTTACCATGGTTACTATTATTTAATAAAATACAACAATGAAGCAAGGATCAACTTCGTTTTTATTCAACGAACCCTACTACATATTGATGTAGTTTAAAGCTATTCATAAGTTTAAAATAGCAAATCATTTCATTTTGTGGTAATTTGAAGAACTTATACATGTATTTTTGTGTGATGTCATAGTAAGCATTTCCCGTATAAATTAGGGCCCGTCTCCTTACTGCAGCCTTAACTGTGCTGCGTAGTACCCGGCCATTTGCGGAGGAACACGTCACTACCTAAGTTTACGTCATGTAAGTTTGACACGGAACAGCGAACACAAATTGACCCCGGGCCTCCCTATCACGAAACGAACGCCCTACCGCGAGGTTATTGTGACCGGGTCTTATTTTATCTGACATGTTTGATACCATTTCTTAAGTCACTAAATTTGATGAAATTGATCACTGTTTGTTATCTTTACATTTGAACAGTTCATCACGTGGTGCCTAGCTGTGAGTGTACTTGTGAATACAATTGTTCTGAAACTTGACTTCTATCTAATTCAAGTCTGAGAGCATTTTTGTCTGGTCTGCTACTTGCAGAATTTAGCAATTTGTTATAATTTTGTGTGTCACAATATTTTATGAAGAAAATCTTTTAACTTCATACTTCAGTGAAATTTTTGTAAACTAATACTATACACATATTCGACTTTCTAGAGAGAGAGAGAGAGAGAAGACGCAGATCGATAGCCCCGTTTCCTATAAACATTGAATAGGAGACCAAAACTCCTCTACGGGTAGAGATGCCGAATTCTGGACGGTGACACTAATGTATAATTGCTTCACTTTTGATTCATTATACACCAAGGCATCGCTTTTGTACAAATGGTCTACCTAATATTATCATGTATATGCCGATCTTGGTATTGCTTCTAAATTATTTTGGGATCACTTCATTTACTTCATTTACAGCTTGGTTAAGGAATCGCAAAAAGACCCCAAAATAGGGTGTAAATCCACTCATTCTCTATCAGGAACTTCAATTTGACAAGGACTTTCTAATTTCAAATCCAAGAATACTGTGGAAAGAAAAAAAATCAGTTAACACATTGTTGATAGCTACGAAATAGCAATTTCGTTTTTTACAGACAATTGATAATATTTTCTTTTCTCAATTTTATGATTTTAACATCTTTCCAAATCGTTATTATATATTAATCAATTGTGCAACTATGACCCTTTTAGTATGGTCATGTTCCGACATTGTAAATTAGATTATCTTTCTGCGCTGGTACTAATATAAAACGAAGCTATATACATGTTACTTGCTCAATGATTTCAACGCCTTTTATTTACTTATAAACTATGTATAATGATAAGAAATTTATGAGCATGATGAAAATATGACAATTTTTAATACAGAATGTGCAATTTTTGTATTCAGAGATTGATGTCATAAAGAACAATTATATGACTGTAAAGTGAAAACACATACTAGAGGTCAAATTCTTTCCTGTAATACCTATGCAGTGATTTTCTCATAATAATCTCACCGGTAAAACGTCATACGTACAGATTCATATGATATTATTTTCTGTCCATATCAATACATGACATAATCCTAGATTTCCGTGTGCATTCTACCATTTATTCCGTTTTGTTGAGGATATACTAACAAAGAACTTACATGTATAGAAAGACTAAATAAAATCTACACCAAGACAGTTTATAAAGCTACACTTTAAAATACATTTTATTTTGTATATATAACTTGAGGTCACACACATTGTACAAACTTGAATTGCTTACATTATATTCAAATTTCAACAGAAGTGTCTTCCTTCCTTTAGGTGATTTATCATAAATTGGATTCTACATTAAGAACACAAATATTATTTCCTTAATGAATACTCGTCTTTATCCAAGAAAGGTGCTGAAATCAGAACATAGTTCAAGAATATCAAAAGACGCACAATCATAGCAAGACTGAATAATTGCACTTAATTGTACTCATTATTTCTGCAAAAAGAAAAAAAAATCAATTTCAAATTTCACAAATGATAACTTTTCTTGTTAATTAATATTTATAAACAGATAAAATAGTTTTGAAAGATTAATGTACAAAAAATAAATAAATAAATAAATAAACAAATACATGTAAATAAATGTTAATAATACATGTAATAATAATAATGCTTTTAAAGATAACGATTCTTTGTTTTCTCGTAATACTTTTTTTTATAATTTTTTTTTTTTTTCATTTTTTATTTTCATTAGATATTACTTTCTATGTTCGTTATTTATAGATAATAGTGTAGTAACAATAATGAAGTTTATTGTACCTTTGGAATAATTTGTGTATTTCCTTCTTAGATACACAATGTAGCCAATTGTGCAAACATTTATTACACCAAATGGAAGAATAGCAAATAAACAAGTTTCACAAGGACCTGATTTTCCGGATCTTCAAAAAAGGCGAAAGACATAAATTATCAACAAAGTTATTTTGTTAATTGACGTTCAAAAAGCTTCTTTAATTTCAGACGATTCTTTTAAATGAATCTGTGAATATGAAATCTTTTGACATATGAATCTCAAGGATCAATTAACAAATTGAAAATATCCTAATGTCAAAATACTGTTTGGTATTTTTGACGGTCATTGGCCTTCTGTGTAGAAAAATGAAATTCTACATATAAAATCTAAGTATATAAATTTAAAATCTTATACATAATTTTCCAATACGTACTTTTCATGTGATTCTGTTGTTTTGTTATCCACGGTAGAGAACGTTGAGTTTTCCAAAAGCACGTCAATATCTGGTGTAATGCTATTCTCTGTCTGACGATAGCATTCTGAATCTATGTAAGTTTATGAGGAAACATAAGCAAACTTAAAGCTATACAGAAATTAATTCTTACATATCACAAACTCCACAATATACTTGTATACATTTATTATAGAAATATACTCATATTTATAAATAAATTTTAACTTGACTATATCTTTATATACAATAGATTAGGATATCATGTTCCCCAAACGAGGTTTGGGAACATATTGTTTTTACTTTCTTTTTTTCAAAATTTCTTTTCCGGTACTTTTTTGTCCACGAGTGTTCTCGGAAACTACTAATCCAATTAAGATGAAAACATTTTAGGGTTAACATGCATGTTGTGTATATGTGTGGAACAAAGGCCATTTCGCGCGAACTTGCATGCACGTGCGTGCAAGTGCGAGGAGTGAAATGATACAATTGAAACAGCTTTAACCTTCCTATTTTTTACGATATGGTTTGAACGTTATATATAAACATATATTAGTGTGTAGACAAGATGAAGTGGTTGAATTAACAAAACAGCACGCATATATGCACGTGTGCTTCCCTCTGATTGGCCGACATACAATGTAAGAAATTTAAAATAAAGTCATACATAAGGAGGTTCTACATTATGATTAATTTGAGATTTTGAGAAAACGCGCACACGCAGGTGTGCTGCAATATGATTGGTTTAAACTTTAAATGGTTGTAACTTACTCAGTTATCAACAAAGCAGGATGAAATTTAAAATAAGATACATGTATGTGTAATGGGTTCCTACAGTGTGCTACTATCAAAATTGAATGCGACAACATGCATGCACGCGTGCTGGATTTTGATCGGTTAATACTCATATGGCTGTATCTCTTAGTTTCCAATGAAAATGTTTGAGATTTCTTACATAGGTATTTATTGTGAGTCTCTTTACGAGGAAGACATGTTAAAGATCTAGAAAAAATCGGCATGCGCGTGCTCTGAAATTTGTTTTTCTAATACCCAAAGGACTATACCGGCATTGTTTTTCGATTAAATAAATCTGCAAATAAATTGTCGATTTATCACACAAAAGGATTGCTTTATTTAATTAAGCGAGTGGGGAATAGGGCCCATAAGGGAGTGAGGAGAGTCTTTGGAGAACATCTGTAACGATTCCCGTTACAATTAGAACTAGTTGATATTGTGATTAAAATAACATTTTCTCATCATTGCCCTGAGTGCCGAGTAAAGGTTTTAAATCAAAGCCCATTTACAGGTATACTGTGAAGTCTCTATTTGAGTGAAAAAATCTCGAATGGGACGTGAAATAGCAATCAATCAATCAATCAAGTAATTAGGTACATGTATAATCAGTGTCATGAATAAAATCTGATAAATTATACTTTTATTCAAGTAATAACAGCTACAGAATTTTAATATTATGATTATACTCTGATATTTTGTTTTGTTTTGTTTTTTGATTTTATAAAAATGCATTGTGATTATCCAAGATTCCGAATGTTTTCTATCTCACATAATGTTTTGAATGAACTTAATATTTTCAATCACTTTTTATATATGAAATTCAAAACGCTATTCCCCTCCTACCAAAATGTAGCTATTACGTTCTTAATTACGCCTTTTTTTCTCGTACCTACGATTTTTCTCTTGAAATTACGACTCTCTATGGCTCTCTTCTATAGTTTTAAATGCGACTTATTACTCGCTAAAAGGATTTTTATCGTATTACTTTGAATTTTTTCCTTGTCATGACAATATTTTATTTATCTTAATTTGTCCCTTTTATATTTTTTATCTAACTTTATCCTTTTTTCCCCTTTTTCATCTTCCTTATTTGATCCCAAAAGTCTTCCGTATTAAAATTACCTTGAAGGTCTGGCAACAAAGAATTGCAAAACTGAAATTCACGGAATTTTTCAGGAAAGACAGTAATGAGGGGCAAATTCTATTCAAACTAGTCATAAAAGTACGAGTATGTAGTCTTAACCATAAATTACATTTTTTTTCTTATAGCTAACCTTTAGTGCATATTTAAATAGATAGATAGAAGCTTTTATAAATCAATAGTAATACTTGATTCGTTTTATGCGAAAGATAACTTAAAATGTACACATAATACAAAGTGACAATAACGATGTATTATTAACAAGTTCCCCATTAAAAAACTTCCTTAAAGACGGGAAGAATTCCTGTTGTTGTTGTTGTTGGCTTTTTTGTTTTTGTTTTGTTTTGTACATGTACGTAAATTCATCAAATAGATTTCGAAGTAATTAATTAACTATACATCTTTTCAAGGGTCATCAGCTTGACAATATCAATATTGTTATGAAACCTACCCAACGGTGTGTATTTCTCCATACTTACATTTGTATGCGTCCGTAGAATTGTATATGAAAGGACACGGGTTATCAAACAGGCCACACTGAATCGGATAGTGACCTTGAATCCTTTTACCAACAGGATTGTATTCTACACAGTATCGACCTACAAAAATAAAACTTTCTTAAAACCTTTCCTTTTAATTTCCTTTGCAATCATTTTGTACATAGAAAATAGTGTCAACTAATTTTTTATTTGTATTTTCAATTGATTTTTTTGTAAAAATTGCATTTTAATCTCTAAAAAGTGCCAAAATGGCACTAATGTGCTTCTATACCCATACCATAGTTCTACAAATTATTCGGTGCTGAATTCTTTCTTCGAAGAATATTACCTATTATTAACACAGATTCGGCACAAACTTCCATAAATTTATCTCCGAACGGACTCAGCACACAATGGTATTCTAAAGTTTTTGAAGTGTCGCATGCAATTTTAGAACAATTCATTCTCATTGCAGCTTCTGTTTTCGTCTTTAATGTATCAGGACATTTTGATACAGTTCCTAATTGTACCTTGGACTCAGAACACGAACATGTTCCTACGTCAAACATTCCAAAAAGAAATATCAACGCAATCTGTTAAAGAAAGATGTTATAAATGCGTTATTCTTTACACAGAAGAGAATCGACATTTTAACAATTGTAAAAATAATAGAGAAATAAACTACAGGGAATAGCTTTAAAAAAAAGCTTGACTGACTACAGCAAGCAATATCTACAGTGTGTAATTATAAAGATATGGATGTTTTGATCCGATACATGTTTTTTTTTTTTTTTTTTTTTTTTTTTTTTTTTTTAAATATTCTTTACTGAAGTTGATAGAAATATTTTCAAAGATGTAAATTATAAACACAAATTGTAATAGATTCCTTCACCGTTGAAGTGCGTAACGCGTTTAAGGAAAACTGTTTCGTTACCATACATTTAGAAGACCATACAAGTGGATCTTGACAAAGCACTGATTCTTTTGAAATGAAAACTGTCTCAGAGGAGTGGAAAGTGAAACTTACTTCGGGTGAATATGTTTATTGTCTGTTTTTCAAACTACTAACCTGTTTTTACAAAAACAAGGACTACAACTGAAATTTACATGTATGCACATAACATTAAATTTTGAAAGACGTTAAAAATGACATTGTATTGAAGATTGTCTAAAGACTTTAAATTTTAAAAAAAAAATATTAGTTTAACAAATGAATGCAATTGATATTTAAATAAATGTGTAACTAATCGGACTAAACTCTGCATTTGAGGTAAACAGGAAAAAAAAAGAGGAAAATTTAGAAAAGTGTTCAGTGGTATTTGCCCATGTACGACATGTTAATATATAACAAATGTGATAAATTTACACTGCAAAGCCCAAAAATCAAGTTCTAAGAACAGATTTTACTATTCCATGGAAACCATCACACTCATGAAATACATGTAGAACACTGCAAGGAAAAGGACGAAGAATTACTCATGACATTTGGCGCAAAATAATTGATTTTTTTCTCCCTTTCACATAAGACAAAATGGACTGATTCATTAGTACAGAAACGCAGAAAAAGATTAAACACTGACATGTCAGTATAGGAAATTGCATGAAATAAATGTTGCATGCACAAAAGATAGAAGTTATTTCTTCTGCTAATTATTATCGTTAAAACGCAGGTTACAAATTTCGATGTAAATCTGCTTGCAAAAAATTTGGCTGCCGAGCTTTCAACTCAATGTTTTTAACCATGGAAAAATTAATCTTTAAGCTACCTGACGCTTTTGGGATGAGGCAAGAAAATTGCAAAGCGCCAGTGATTAGATTCTGACCTGTTTAAATTAATGTAAATTATAACTCAGATTTCAGATAACTTCCCGGAAATTAAAGCAAGCAGAATAGGCGAAAGGTAACTGTTTTCGTTTCACATTTCATAACTTCAGAATGAATGTTAAACTACATGTTACTGTAGAGTCAATGTTCATAGCAATATAAAGCTAAAAAAATCCAGTACATAAAAGATATTAAGACATAAGATTAGAACTGAACGTTCAGGGCACTAAGCTTCATTATACGTCAATAAAAGTGAGATAGCAAAAATGGAAGATCTTCCTACAAGGCTTAATTTGTTGATTACATGTAACTGCTATCTCTGGCATTTACCATCGTTCATAATGTCATTACAATTCCCACTGAAGATGAGCTAAGAATATTTCTCACAGATCAAGCCATTAAGATTTATAACTGGTAGTGACTGAGCTTTAACCCTGTTTTTCATAAAAGAAAATACTTTTTAAAAAACGAAGAATGTTATTTTCATTCATATTATTACGTACCCGATGGGTACATGTTTAAGTTCAATATATCACTTATGAATAGATATTAATTACAGCAAAAATCCATCTAACATGGTATAAAAGTACATACGTACAATTACCTTAAAGATACTCTTTATGTCCTATTTTGATTATAAAACTAGAAAAAAATTGATGAAAATCAATGAAAATTATACCTACCTGAAATATCAGTGGTTGGTTTTGTTATTTTAATGAGAATCAAAATTTCGTGCAACTCTTAATATTTAAATGACAAGAGGCCTACGAGCCTTACATGTAATGGTCACATGAGCATAATACAACACTGTAAAGAATTGATAGAAGTATATAATCCCCCCCCCCCCCCCGAAAAAAAAAAAGCAAAAACAAAACAAAACAAAGAACAATAAAACAAAACAAAACAATAATAATAAAAAAAATAAAATACAATAAACAACCCAAACAAAACAAGAAAGGATAGATCAAGCTATATATGTTGCTCAAAAGCAAAATAAATAGGATGATCAGGGATCAACAAAATAATGAGTGTAGTAATTAGTAACAAATCATAAATTTCACCACTTTGGTAAAAGGCACAATGCTTATTACAAACATGCTCACAGTTTGACTGTTTGAAGTATAGGAGTATAGAAGAAGATTTTCAAAGATACATGTAGCACTAATTTTAATGGTTTTAACCACCCCTCGGGCAAAAGGGGAAGGGAAGCAGAAACCCCGAAATTAGAATTTTTTGTACTTCTTAACCCATTGATGCTCTGTTAAATTTTGCCAAAATTGGCTCAGTGGTTCAAGAGAGGAAGTTGAATATGTTCAAAAGTTTACGAACGATGCACGTTGCATGACGAAGGATATCAATTGGTCACCTGAGTGACTCAGGTGACCTAAAATTATCTCATATATCATACTGTATACATTAAACGCAGAATAAAAGTACAGAACGCTTACGATTGGATTTTACTAAATTTCAAACAAGGAAACTGCACAATTGATATGTCTATTCAAATTTCTATACCTTTAAAACACGCCATAAAAATACCTTTCTTCCCTATACTTAGACGGGCCTGATGCTTACATGTATTAATTCGTGTGAAATGCATCTAAATTTAATTTTTGAATAATCACATCTGGGCAATCATACTAAATTTAACTATATGATCTATATGAAATTAGCTTTCCTTTGTTATCAAGTATATGTACATGTATGTAGTACTATGCATCATCGAGCTCCATTAAAATTTGTTGTTAAATAGTTAATCTGAATTACTTGATGGTTTGTCCATTTTTCACAGCTGTTTAATGTTGTGTTATTCAAACTGGTAAAAAATATTTGTTAAAATTAGTCTGAAAAAAAATTTCTCGATATATTCTTTTTATTTTTATAGATAGCTTAAGCCTAACTTCACTCCATAATCTAAACCTTTGCAAGAAATTGATATTTTTCTTATATATATATATATATATATATATATATATATATATATATATATATATATATATATATATATATATATATATATATATATATATATATATAATCATAAAAGAAAAAGAAAATGCAGAGTTTCCAAATTTCACAAGTGCTTTCTGGATTTAACAATCCTTCTTCTGGTGTACATACTTTGAACTGATTTGAAATCAGTTCAAAGTATGTACACCTGAAGAAGGATTGTTAAATCCAGAAAGCGCTAAAGCGCTTGTGTTAAATGAAATTTGGAAACTGTGCATTTTCTTTTTCTTTTATGATTATTTTTTCTGTGTGACATCATCTTTTAACTACTTTTTAATTATATATATATATATATATATATATATATATATATATATATATATATATATATATATATATATATATATATATATATATATATATATATATATATATATATATATATATATATATATATATATATATAATAAAAATAATAAAGAGAAACTTTCAAAAAGAAAAGGTTTTAAATATTATTCATAAAACTATCAAAAAAGAGTTATCTTTCATAATATAATGTGTACGTTCATGCTTACAAACTCCTGGGAGATTGAGATTGATTGGTTGAATGTATATTGTTTGTAGGTCCGTCATATGAACCGGACTGTATACTGATGAAGGGCTTCAAATTTAGACCTTTACTCGGCACTCAGGGCAATTGAGCTGTGAGTGTTCTTTATCGTGGCAACACCTGAGACCCGTCACATTCACTTCTTATGGTGGGTACTTGGCTATGGAACAGTCATTACTTATGTCAGCGTTTTAGGTATGATCCGTCATCGGGAACGAGAATCGAGAACAATGCTGTATATACCGTGACCGGTAATATTATAGTACTAACCGACTGACATACAGTATAGTGTATCAATTTTAGGACAAGGACAGTAAGTAAAAATAATTGCATAGTAAATAACTGTAACAACGCTTCCTTCCTTGACTTGTTACAGTAATTAGTGTTAAATCCAGACCCTAAAAAGGGCATGGTAATCCAATAAGAAACTAACTTCATACTTTGTTGTTTCCTAGCCCATTTCACACATAATATTCATTTTTTTTTTTCTTTTTTTTTGGTACTGTACATTGTAAGTTGACTTAATTCATCAGCAGTTTAATTTTTCACATTTCTTCAACAACTCTGTTTTTTGTACTTTCAATTAAAAAAAACGATCCTGATTTAAAATGTATAACATTTTAATTACAAATTAATCTATCTTTGACATTGGGCTAATTCTTGCAAATCAATGCAATCAAATGATATTTTCTCGTCTGATCACTTACACCCTGACAGCCTGATTCATGTTACCTGGCCAGGTGGCTGTGTGCGTTCAAGCGAGAAGTGATTTCCTGTCCTGAATTCACACCTTTGCGTGCATTAAATAAATAAAGGGGCTAATCTGTATGGAAAGCCGTAGGGTACCCCCACATTATTATTATTTTTTCCTATATAATTATACCAAAAATAGTTATCTCATCCCAAAATAAAAATCTTGATTTTTTTTTTTTAACATTATTATTTTCCTACAACAATTATAATCTTGTCCGTCCATGTGTACTCATTATTTTTATTTTGCCCCTACATTATAATAATTATTCTCACTTTACAATTATAATCTTTTCAGTTAGTACGGAGACATTATTTTTATACACCTCCAAATTATAATCTTGTCAGTCGATTCGTACACATAATTTTTATTTTGCACCAAGATTATAATTATTCTTGCCTCAACAATTTATAAGACTTCACCTCCTGTAACAATAATGTACTGACTGAAAAT